CTCCTCTTTCCATCGTTGCACCAGATACTGAGGCCTAAAGAGGACAGATCTGCAAAATCCACTTTAGCTGGTACAGTTTACTTTATTCCTGTGATGTTTTCTGAAGTATTATGTTTAATTATCTGTGAGGGAAACAAATAAGGTCCAGACTTACAGAATAATATCCTGGTCTTAATTCTCCTCTGGTTCTGGGTCAGACTCTGGTTCTGGGTCAGGCTCTGAAATCTTTTAATTAAATTATAAATTAAATGTTTCTACAAGCTAGAAAATGTGACCCCCCTCAAACTGGAGTGGACCGGTCTGGAAGCCGGAGGGGGCGGAGCTTGAAGTATCTTAAAGGAACAGTAACAAAACGAGCTGCTTGGAGACACAGCAGGAAAGTGTTGAAAGAGGAGCTGGTGAAGTTAGAATAAGGAGGAATTCGGAGCAAAGCTGTAGTTCCACTTAATAAAGACCCGACTGAAGGATTTCAAAGCATCATGTTTACTTTAAATCCAATGGTTTCTGCTCAAATCTTGACCAGAAGTCTTGTATATCCTACACTACAGTGATGTATTTTCAAATATTTTCCACACAGGCGGCCTGCAACCGGCTTCATGCACACCTGACCTCCATTCAGGGACCGGATCAGTACGCCTTCCTGAGGAGACTCATTGTTGAAACCACAGGAACCAACACCAGAACCTGGGTCGGAGGCACCAACTTACATAATGTGAGGATTTTGTGTTGGTTTTTGTTTTAGTAGCAAATACACAACATAAGGAACTTGACAGTTAGAGAGATTTAGAGTTCTCTAAATGTTAAAACAGATCTGATGTTTGAACTCTAACAGGAAGCTTATTGGACGTGGATCGATGGTACCCCCTTCGACTTCACTGACTGGGGTCCAGGAGAACCAAACAATGCAGGTGGAAATGAGCGCTGCATGGATATCAACCTGAGAGGTACAAAGACAATGTCTCTTTAAACAGACTGACCTACATTTATGAGTCTCTTTAACTGAAACCATACATTAGAGGTTTTACCTGCTCAGTCTTCACACACAGGAACAATCCCATCCTACATTACTTATTTACTTTTTCAATTTTCTTTTTCTTTTTAATTTTTCAATAATAAAAACATAATGTCTGATTTAAATTTTTTTCAATTTGAATCATTTTCTGGTTTTCAGGACAAGATTACGTGAATGATGAAAACTGTGACACAAAGAACCCCTTCATTTGTGTTAAAAACAAGGCTTAGTTGTGTCTTTGTTGTCTCGACACGTCTGACACAATGATGTCACTTCCTGCAGGACGTCAGGCCTCGATGACGTCCCTTCTGGAAGACAAATGGTCAAAGTCAGATAATAAACATGAATAAACGTGTCTTCTAAAATCTTTTTGTCTTTATTTGTTTGATGTTTGAGTTAAAA